TCTCCCATCATTTATGTTTCTATCTCTCACTCTCCCTTCCTCTCTGAAATCAATAAAAAAATATATATATTTTTAAAAAAGAATATGCTCTTCTCTTCTTGGCTCACTTGATACGGAGACACCAAGAAAGAAAACAACCTCTCCTCTCAAAGCTTTGCAGTCAGGGCCATGGAACTGTGGTGCTTGAGGGAGCCTTAGGGATCTCCTGCAGTCTGAACCAACCTGTTCCTCTTATAAATAAGGAAACTGCATGGCTTCTGAAAGGCCACAGGTAATAACAGGCAGAACTGGGACACCAGAGTTTACTCACTCAAGCAGTGGCTAAACTAGAGTGTCACTGCACAGGGAGCCAACCTCCCTGCCATTTTTGCCGGTGCTGGCCTTTCAGAAAGAGCCCATGGAGCCCCTGATGCGGGGCTGTCTGCCACAGGAGCACCACTTATGTCAGGGGCCTCCCGCCATCCAGTCAGAAGAAACAGCAGGCGTGAAGCAACGAAGGGGAAGGCAGAACGGAACTGAGCACTTCTGTTTCATTTTGCTTGTACTGGGTCCTCTATTCACCGCAATATTGAGTTAAATGCTGACATGTTTCCAGGGAATGTTTTACTAATAAGTAAAGATTTCATTGTGGTTTTAAACAAGTGCTGCCCTAGCGCTTTGTTTCCTTGAAATCCCGCCTTTCCTCAGATTTAGTTGTTTAGCCTCTAGAGCAGTGGTTCTCAACCTGTGGGTCGCGACCCCTTTGGCGGTTGAACAACCCTTTCACAGGGGTCGCCTAAGACCATCCTGCATATCAGATATTTACATTACGATTCATAACAATAGCAACATTACAGTTATGAAGTAACAACGAAAATAATTTTATGGTTGGGTCACAACATGAGGAACTAGTATTTAAAGGGCCAGAAGGTTGAGAACCACTGCTCTAGAGCGAAGAATGCAGTGCTTCAAACACATTGTAGCTGCTCAATAAAACGTTTATGCTATAGATGTCAGTGTTTTTATTTTCATGTACCACAGCAGGAAAGGTTCAGCAATGAAATAAGTCTTTGCAGTTTGTAAAAAGTAACTCCACAGCTCAATCGTCATGACTTACAAATAACTGGCACTACCTGTCCCAATCATATCATAGAATGTTTTGGCCCGAGAAACTAATAAAATAGCATCAGACCTAAAAATGAGAGTAGAAATTCCTTTTTTTTTTGTTCTCCTATATCTTTTTCTCATTAAAAGTTTGTGTTTGCTCTATGGACTGCAAGAAAATAATCATGTTACTGGCGCTACATCATGTTAGACATAGTCATGCTCTGCATAACATTTTGGTCAATGCCACCATATATACGATGGTGGTCCCATAAGATTCTTGTAGAGCTGAACAATTCCTATTGCCTAGAGACATCGTAGCCTGGTAACGTCATACCACAGCACATGACTCATATGTTTGTGGTGATGCTGGTACAAACAAACTCACTGTGCTGCCAGTTGTATAAAAATATAGCACATACAACCATGTCTAGTACATAATACTTGAAAATGGTAATGGATTAATATGAAATGGTTTACATATTTACTGTCCTACACTTTTATTGTTATTTTAGAGTGCAGTCTTTCTACTCAGGAAAAATAAAAGTTTGAGTAACAGTATGCTGTGTCACACAGGCAGTAGCCCTCATACCTTTCATGTTTATTATGCCTCTTGATTACATCATTCCCTCTTGTGCTTGATTTACTCTCATGTTGTTTTGTACAGTAACATGCTGTACTTAAAAAGAACCAGTATAGTCAGTACTCACTTAATCTCACCCATAGCTTCTTGGAATTGACGTGAAATGACGCATAATGAAACCAATTTTACTGTAGGCTAATTGATACAAAGAAGAGTTAAAAGTTCCTATTTAAGCCCTAGCCGGCTTGGCTCAGTGGATAGAGTGTTAGCCTGCAGACTGAAGAGTCCCAGGTTTGATTCCAGCCAAGGGCACATGCCTGGGTTGTGGGCTCGATCCCCAGTGGGGTCGTGCAGGAGGCAGCCCATCAGTGATTCTCATCATTGACGTTTCTATCTCTCTCTCCCTCTCCCTTGCTCTCTGAAATCAATAAAAATATATTTTTTGGGGAAGAAAAGAAATTAGAATTTGTGTCCCCAGCTGTGTCACTGGTACAGAGGGAGGTGGGTGGGTAGAAAAGGCAGTGGGTTTGGAGGGGTGCCAGGGTTGGGACGTGTGGTTCCCTGTACAGCAAGCGCACCGCGGGTCTAAGCGCTCAGGAAACATCTTGCTCAGTGAGCGTCTGCTGAACAGTAACTCTGTGGTGGGGCTGCCGGTGGTAAGGTTCAGAGATGATAAGACACCATTGCTGCTCAATAAAGAAATTATATATATATATATGAAATTTATATATATATATATTACATATAATATATATATAGTTCCTATTTAAGCATTTCATCAACATTATAATGAAATAACATTGAATAAACAACATTATTCAAGAACCTACTGTACCTGGGTCCCCACCCACAGGCAAGTATATCAAAATCTAGGAAGGCAGCGTTGGGTAATCAGTTCTATTTCTAGTGCTCCCCAGATGACTCTCATGTGCAGTTAAGAATTTTGAACCCTTGTAGTCAGTATGCAGGCATTAGATAGGGAAGGAAGACTAGCTAGCCAGGCCTAGCAGAGAAGACCTAAGAAGTCATATGCACTTGTGGTTGACTATTAGAAACTCATGGAGAACATCCACAAAGTACTACTGAGTGATGCATGCTACTCACCAAATATTCATTAAAATATTATATATAAGTTTGACTTTTGACTACCCATCATAAAGAGAATAGAACTTAAAGAAAATCAATCTATATGATGAAAGGGAATGAAAAGAGCAAACTATATTACAAAGTGATTCTGGAACTGGGTCTCCATCAACTTCAAAAGAAAACATCAGTGATATTTCAACAACTATTTTTTAAAATGATAAATAAATCTTCTTGTGTCACATGGTGCAAGTTATAGTAGCTATTTTCAGAAAGAGTATTTGACAATAATTTACACAGTGCTAACCTTTATTGAATGTAAGTCTATACATTTTAAAGAAATGAAAATATTCAGACTTGTCAGAAACCTCTCAGATTTTAACCACAGAGTATTCTTTTTGATGACTTGGTGTGGGTTTCCAGAGAAACAACTTGATAATCTATTACAACACCAACTGTACGGAATGTAACCATTTTCCTTCCTCTTTGCCAGCTGAGATGCCAAACATTCTCTGACATTTGCAGCCCCGATTTTAGCCCCAGATAAGACAACATTTTGCTCCAGTACAAACCCAGGGATCAGCAAAAGAAACCAGTCTCTCTTTCAGAATACCTGAAGAGTTCAAAATGTTGTATAAGAATTAAAATGTATTAGCATTTCCATTTAGGACTGTTGTCTAGCCCTCCTGGTGGTAGTTTATTTATTACATCATGTCTTTCCTATTGTCGGGGTCAGGGAAGGCCACCCCAAAATATCGCACAATAGCATATTGATAATTTTGAATTAAAGTTACTTGACAAGTAGTCAATGCAAGAAGGACACGTGGAATCTCCCTTCTCTCCTTGAATGCAGGAAATAAATCTCCCCTATGAAAAGTCTTCTTGCTACAGTAGACTGAGACACCCTTATCCTTAGAGCTAAGGAATTCAGGGCTACATGGCTTGTTATTTCTTTATTAATTCATTAATTCTGTATAAACAAAACTTGTTATTTCTTTACTAATTTACTATTGAAGCCCAAACTTTGGTTAGATTCTTCACTAAGGAATACACAAACCTAAGTTTCTTTGTCCTGTCAAATGTATTGTTTCTTTGTCTAAAAGGCATAAAGAGCTGGCTGGTTCATAATTTCTCAGAGTATCATTTATAACCTCCCACATGCACATATTAAATTACTTTTCCTCTGTTAATCTGGTCTTATGTCATTTTTATTATTAGTTCAGTCTTAAGAACTCAAGAGGGGCAAAGAGGGAATTTCTCCCCCTCCTCAACACTACTTTCTACTGTTATGATGCAATGTAATATAAACAAAGTTTACCTTTGATTCTCCCAGTACCCAATGACACCTAGATTTAGCCAGTGTTCTAAAATATTAGTTTAATAATATGAATACATGAAAGAATAAATGCATACATTAACCAAGAACCTCACTGGTATGTTATTATGTTCGTTAGCACACAAATCAAGTTAGTATGTTTATTTTTCACTTGTTCGTCATTCATTAATTAATTCAGCTTTAACTGAAAATCTATGTATTCTGCACTGTGCTGAATGGTCAAAAGGAATGGCCCCTATTCTCTAGCAGCGAAGATAGTGAGATATCAACAGAAGCAATTCTAGAAATTTAAGTGCACAACCATATAGGTTGATAAATATGTTGAACACATCCATTTAATTGATAAGTAAATGCTAAATCAATAGTTAATATGAAGGACCAATCCCACTAATAAACAGAAATTAAGAGCATTTGAAGGCTATGCGTGAGAGGGCTTTCTGGTATCTCATATTTGGCTACCTCTAGGATGAGAGAAGTGTTACATGGAGCAATCCAGGAAGGGGATGGACTTGGGGAATGACTCACTGACAGGAAACAGGTGGGGCTATGGGTAGAAGAAAACTCTGAGTACACTAAGTAAGGCCTCAGAGAAGGCTTGAAGGAGCCATGGGCTGCTTAGATTAAGGTGTTCTTGAGAGCCTTGTCCACAAGCAAAGCAGAGGGACAGGCAATGAAATGAAGAGAAACCAAAGAAATTAGGTTATCTGAGGATGTACCTTAATAAAAAAAAGTTTTAATTTGGTTAAATCCTGACCCGTCTTTAGTATAATCTTAGATGTTCTTAAAAGTACTTCATAGGAGACGATTGTACTTTTTTAACACTAACCCAAGTCAGACTCTTTCTCTTCATACAACAAAAAGGAGGGGAAAAGACCCTCTTCTGAATAAATATGTTAAAAACTGGAATATACATACTCATCCTTGTCCACCTTCTCTCGAAGCTTCTTTAGTTGTTTATGTTGGCCGTACTTCACATTTTGCATTATGTTCTCAAAGTATTCATCTTCCTTGTACTTGTACTATATTATATAAAAGATTTTGGTGAAAATATTAAAACCAGTATCTTCAAAACTTTTGCTAAAAATATAGAGGACATTTTCTTAAATTCTACCTGTTAATAAAGTTAACAGAGAGCATTAAAACTTACCAAAGAAGGATTTAGTTCCAACTAGTCTAGCTCTATATTATAGGCCACTGTTGCTGTGGCTGAATCACCACTTCAGTGTAATTAATCACATGAAACCAAGTGTCAGGCAAGCCTTACCATATTGATATGAATCCTTATATACCGGATGTGATAACAGCATATTCTTGTTAGTACCTACGATGGGCCAGGCAGCATTCTAATAATATTTTAATAATCTTATAAAGATGGGCTATTATCACCACTTAAAAGTTGAGAGCCCAGTCTGGCTGGAGTAGCTCAGTGGTTGAGCATCAACCCATGAACCAGGAGGACATGGTTCGATTCCCAGTCAGGGCACATGCTTGGGTTGCAGGCTGGATCCCCAGTAGGGGGTGTGTAGGAGGCAGCCAATCAATGATTCTCTCTCATCATTGATGTGTCTATCTCTCCCTCTCCCTCTCTGAAATCAATTATATATATATATATATATATATATTTTAAAGTTAAGGAAACTGAGATACAGACAAGTTCACTTGTGGATCTGGGATTTGAACCTACACAGTCAGCTTTGAGTCTACAGTCTTAGCCACTAGGCTCTTGCTACAAGGGTCCCCAGGACTCCCATGCTATAGCCAGCTAATTTAAAAGAAACAGTCAAGCTTTTCTGCAAATGGAAAAGGACGAGAGAACACCGTGGCTTGCAAATCCCACATCAGACTAGTAATCAATGGATTAGGAATCACTGTCATGTCCGATTTACACAAGGATTCTCTTATCATCACCAGGGTTTCAAGTAGTTGTGGTGACCACAGATTAGTAACAAGAACCTCAGCTAAGTCTGAAATAAGTATTGCCGTGACTTTAATCAATTCTCTTCTCTTACCACTGTTACATTACCAAAGGAGAATACAACAATCTCTGGTTCTCAGGTATTTTTTTGTTTGCTTTTTAAATAGAGAATGCATGATCTAGTTTATACAGTGGAAGGAAAATTAAAAAGTGGGTGGGAACCTGAAGATTTGACTTTTCAGGCCTGTAAGATGAGATAAGGAGCCTGAGTGCTGCCCGCTGTTCCAGCACTTTGATGTCTACCTTTGATACTCTTTAAGTTTGAGACTTTTTTTTTTTCAATCCTCACTGGAGGATATTTTTCCATTGATTTTCTGAGAGAATGGAAGAGAGAGGGAAAGACAGAGAGAAACATCAATGTAAGAGAAACACATCAATTGGTTGCCTCCTGCAAGAGGCCTGACCAGGACCCAGGCCTGGGAGGAACCTGCAACCAAGATACGTGTCCTTGACTGGAATTGAACGTGGGACCCTTCAGTCCGCAGGCCAATGCTCTATCCACTGAGCCAAAGCAGCTAGGGCTACCCTTGATACTCTAAAGGACGCCGGATTTTTCTTACTTCTTAAAATGGAATACATGGAAGCCAAAATAACAGATGCGGGACAGGCCAATGAAACAAAAGGCTAAAACTGAAACAAACACAGATCTGTCTTCAGTGCTAAAGACTTTTATAATAAAACCTATGGGCCCAGCCGGTGTGGCTCAGTGGTTGAGCATCAACCTATGAACCCAGAGATCACTTTTCGATTCCCAGGTCAGGGCACACGCCTGGGTTTCTGGCTTGATCCCCAGCAGGAGGCAGTCAATCAATGAATCTCTCTCTTTGATGTTTCTAGCTCTCTCTCTCCCTCTCCCTTTCCCTCTGAAATCAATAAAAGTATTTTTAAAAAATAATAAAACCTATGGTTTTAGGCTACTTCACATAATTTTTGGCACCCGATAGCTAAAAATAACATTGCCACCAGCCCCAGGTGTCATTAGCCCAGAGTCTTAATAGAGACTTACCTCCTCATATTCTTTATTCAGTTTGTTGTCATCTGAGAGAATGTCATCGGGATAGCCAATTCTTTCTTTAATTGCCAAGGCCTATGAGAATTGTAATATTGAATGTGAGGATGATTACATAACTTTCAAATGCAAACATTGTCCTTTGCCCATGAATATCAACTGAATAACTTGATCCATACTGTTTATAAAAAGAGTATCAGACAACACTTAAAAAAAAAGTTGAAGTGGCTTCATCCTGGGGCTCAAAAGAAACAAAAAGTTGGTCTGAAATTTAGCTTCTAATGCTCTGTCCTCACAGACTGCAGCTTTCCCAAGAAAACCAAAATGAAAGCTGACAAGTCGGCCAATTTACAGGACAAGTAATACTTAGAGCTTCCATTCTAGCAGCTTATAATTGTCTTTCCACATTACCGATTTGGCTGAGAAAACAGATATGGGCTTATATGTTCGTGCTAATATTCTTCCTGAATATTGGTCCTTGGAGTTTTTATGTTCTACCTCAGTCTCCAAAGCTGTGTGCCTATCTTCTCAAAGTTAAATGAATGACATTAATTAAACAAGGAGCAAACAAGAGTTTTCCTTGTTATACAAGCTCACGTTTACCTCTTGCTTACTGCCATTTCTAATTTTTATGTTTAGTATTTTAAAGTTATTTACTTATTTTTATTATTTCATGATTACCCCGTGTTTACTACTTGCTATTTCTATTTTTTTATATTCTCAAAGATATCTGACTTTTGATGCTATCATATCACATTTGCTCTTAAATAATTTAATTAATTTAAATTTGTCATGGGGAATTAAGCCTGTATCTCTGAGTTATTTGGTTTGCCATCAGAGGGATGTGGTTTTGTTACCAATCTGTTTCATAAGCCCAGGATTTCCCCAGTGGCTAGGACAGGATATGTGTCACTAAGTCAGTTAGGCCATGCCCACTTTCTTGTACGTTTCCAGAAATTATTAATCAGCCCCCTCTCATTAGCACTTTATTTTCTAGAACACATTTCCCAAAAGAGTGTTCTAAGGGACAGAGACTCTATTGAAATAAAATTTACTGCATAAAAGTAATTTATTGTCAAATACTTTAGATAAATACTGTGACAAAAACATTAAGCAGGCTTCTTTATTGCAGGACTTCTTACAGTAAAAATTAGGTTATTATAAGTGTCCAAGAGGAGGAATTAATTTGTCTCTTTATTCATTCAATATATGTTCAAGGGTCTACAATGAGCCCGGTACTTTGCAAGGGGCTGAGGCTTCAATGCTAGGCAAAATTTCTGCCCCCCCAGAGAGCTTACTGTAAAGATCAATGATAAGCAATGAAATGAGAATTTACTCTCAGTGTGATGTATGATGCCATAGAATCACACCCTCAGAGCATGTAACCTGACTAAGATGAGATCAGGGAAGACTTCCTACAGGCAGTGTTTCCTGACGTCTTTTGACCAGGGGACTCTCTTTTGTGGAACAACTTGGCACCTGTTTTCTGACACCACCTTGGGAAATGATGATCTAGAACAGTGATGGCGAATCTATGACATGCATGTCAGAGGTGACACGTGAACTCATTTTTTTGGCGGATTTTTCTTTGTTAAATGGCATTTAAGTATATAAAATAAATATCAAAACTATAAATCTTTGTTTTACTATGGTTGCAAATATCAAAAAATTTCTATATGTGACATGGCACCAGAGTTAAGTTAGGGTTTTTAAAAATGCTGACACGCCGAGCTCAAAAGGTTCGCCATCACTGATCTAGGACAATTCAATTGCCTACATCAAACAGGACCATGTCACAGAGAGCTAGAACATGAATGAAGCAAATCCAGCCCAAATTTCTGAGGACTTTGCCAGAATAATGAAAATATAAGGGGGCTTAAAAATCTAGACCTAACCCACTCAGGGCTCTGTGAAGCTGAAAAAGATAGTCCTTGCATGTGATTTAATCCAAAACAGAACTACACTGTAGCTTGACTCTCTTATTATATTAGCTTTTTGAACTCCCTCCGTTATCAGTTCAAAATATGGTCTGTTCTTCTTACCACCTTAACTACAGACAAATAATCAAGTTGAATGTGAATACTGCTCATAAAGCACATACAGTTGTCACAGGACATTTTGTTCCTTTTAGTTTTATATAGTTAGAAAGACAAATGACCACAGTAAATTTAAACCTAAAATTTCCTTAGAAATATCATCTTTCTTCATATGCAAAATATTAAAAGTCCCAATAAAAGAGACAGGTCATCTTATAAAACTCAAAAATTGCACCATCTTACATTTGCTTGAACAGAAATACAGTATTTTTTTCTTCCTAGGTTTTATAAAAAACTCTCTGAGGCATGTTTTAAAAAATTTAGCTAGAAATTTGCATTACAAATTGAGGGCATATTTTTGACATTGTTAGAGGCCTTTTAGATATATTTCTTAAAAGGAGAAAAATTATGAACCACTGATAACATCATTTCATTTTTACTTGCTAACATAAGATTTTCCTCTTGTTTTCTGAAGTCTTCCTTTAAAAAAATGTGGAGATCTTTCAAAGTTTTGAACTGAACACGGAGAGTAGAAGTTGATTACAAAGAAATAAAAAAATGGAAATCATAGAAAAATAAATTTATCCATAAAAAATGTTCCTGAAAACGTTACATTCTGAAGGAACTTGCTTTTATTTTACGCATTTTTTCTCTCACTGCCTTTGATCAGGCGTTTATTCAAATTCTTAAGCAATTCTTGATTATCTGTTTTCCTGAATTGTCTTAAAAATTGGTATTTCTTTATAAAGAATTTTTTTCCTTTGATAGTTAGCCCTGCCTTGCTTTTTACCTTTTCTTCAGCTCTCTTTTTTGTTTCAGCATCCATCCAAGTCAGCTCATCTAAAGTCTGAATAAAAACTTCCCGGATCTGTGTAATCAAATCCTCAACCTCAAACCAAAAGAACAGAAGACAAATTTAGGCCATTAGTTAATTTTTTATAACACAAATTGAAACAGACAATAGTGGGTGAAAGCCTGGGCAGATGAAGGGCAGGAACAGGGTGGAAAGGGTAAATGGGGGACGGGGGGAGGGCGTGGAGGAGGAAAGGGGATATCTGTAATACTTTCAGTAATAAAGATAAATTAAACTTTTTTTAAAATTTAAAAATAGAGCTATAATCTGTCTTTATGTGATTTAATAATATATTAATAAATATAAGTTTATAGGCAGACTATGACCTACACAAATGGGTATATGTGAACAATTATATTTTGAAAGCAACATTGTTTTTATCAGTACTTATGATTAAATAGGTATTATATATATACATTTATCAAAAATCATGTTAAGAATAAACCGGTTTTCATTAACATAAAAGAAGAATTAACATAAAATATTACCTATTATTACCATTTGTAATTTAGTAAAGCATGAAGCAGCATTTCAATAGATTATTTCACCATATCTTCAAGCTGCATTGCTTTCATGTCAGTAACAATGAAAAATAGAGTACATTTCTTACACTTCAACTAAACCTGGGTTTACTTTCTAGGTTTTTAAGAAAACCCTAATTCTTAGTCAATTTTGCTAACAGAGGAGTTTAGAAATGACTGTATCACTAGAACATGTGACTGTTTCCAGAACCTACTGCTTCTGGAAAAAGGACAGTTGCCTTTGGATTAAATAATACTAGGATCAGAAACATAACCAGACCCTTGAGAGAGGGAGGATGAGATTTACTGGGAAATAATGGCCAATTATGATTCAGAGGTTACCTGACAATTAATAAAATTTTAGCCCAATTATGGACCATTGTAACTGTCCATCAGTGCAAATGAGTGAGTGATAGTGCACTGTGCTGAGAACATTACCACGTGTTTACTGTCTCCAGCAAATGCTGCTTGCACATAAAGCCTTCCCACTGCACTGTCCATGTTCGCATTGACAAAGTTTGCACAACGTCTCCAAGCTGCTATTTCTGATGTTGTGCCATAAAGGGCCTATGGGAGAGAAAAAGGAAATGGTGTTTGATCAGGAGTAAGACAAGGGAGCATGGTCACAACACAAATCTCACAGGACTCGCTATTCTTTACGTCTCCTAAGTTCTTGCAATAGTCACTGGTCCTCCTTACAAGGCATGTTGTCCTTGCCGATGATAAAATGCAATCCAATTGGATTGTTTACTTTCATACGATCTGAAAATAAGGTATATTCTGAAAATAAGTTATATTTTCAGTACCTATCCCAGTAGAACTTCAGGCTACTACAAGTTAACATCCTTCTAGACAGCTTTAGGAAAAAAGCAACCCAAAACAACCCTCCCAAACAAAAAATAACGCCGTTACCGCTGCATAAACATAAATGTGAAGTAATGGTCAATAAACGTCGTAATGAGAGAAATCTGCTATACAAAAAGGCACATTCCTGTTTGTTAAATGTTTTAGCTGAACTTCCAGCACTTAGAAGAAATCTATGTGTATAAATTTAAGTACCAATAAGGGGACTAACTTAGGTAAGGGAAATTTAGCAAAATACCAATTTGACAAGCTTCAATTTTAAAATTGTGCTTGTATTTTCTTTTAAAGGGTAAAAACACAAAATTTCAATCAGAAAGTTATTTCCTTTTCATGACACTAACCAATACTGGACACCAACCATGCGCTAGAATTTCTCCTTTCTCATCTCTCCTGCCTTCGTCCCTCACAACATGACTAAAATGATGATTGTTTAAATGTAGGTACAGCCTAATAAAAGGCCTTAAGGTTGTCTCCAGGTAGATGTGTTAGTGGATTGTCCACGTCAATGTACTCCATCTGTGTGTAACTCTAGTGTGCTATGAACACCTGGAAAATCGAGTTAATCGAGATATCCCTGCGATTGTTTTTAATGCCACACAAACACCAAGCCAGTATGTTTGTTTCATGAGCTGCTCACATAACCAAATGCATATCCTTCCACGGCATTTCGATCACGATGCCACAGTAGACAAACATAGGATGGCAAAGACCATAAAAACTAGCTTTTCTATGATGGCTTTTCCAGACATCATAGCCTAAACATGGGCAAAATAACCAACGTTTGGCACTTTGTCTCTTGGCCAAGTTCACCACATTCTAGCAGTATACATGGCACCTTCATAACCATGTGTCTCTTTATGTTTTAAGTCTTAAGAAAAGAGAGATTGTATCTTCACCTTGCGGAAAGCATTTCTGGACTCCTTGTAGGTTCTGCTGAGGCTGCTTACAAGATCCATTATGAACCGCCAGGACATTAAATTTTGAAGATCTCTGTATAAAAAAACCCACCACCCAGCAACAAAAAAGATGAGGCTGCAAAGCTTCTAAAGAGTGATATTAAATGTAAACTCTGAGGACATGGGCACTCTGACATACTTACCTGGCAGAGTATTTGGTAAGAATGAGCTTAAGTTTGGTTAAATATTCTGGAGCATAAACAACCACATCTTCCTCACTTGTAATTTTAATATCCACAGTTGACATAATTTCATTTGTGAAATTGGACCAGCTGAATGGCTGGAAAAAAAGCAGGCACAAAACATTCAGTAATTATGAATTTCTCTTCTTGATTCCAACACTCAATTATGTTCAGGGGTCAGACACAGTTTGGGCGTCAGCTGCAGCACAATATAATTATCACAATCATCCAGTCAGATACTTGTATGGGATTTTCCCTTAATTGTTTCCATTGGTTTTGAATAAAAATTAGTTCGGCAGCATGATTATTTTGATAGAATTAAACCAACCACTTAAGAACAAAAGCAAAGCCTGTAAGTGTCGAGAAAATACAGTTAGAAATTAGGCTCAGTGCCATCTTCTTGGTCTAATCAATATAAAATAGAAGAAAACGTTAGCTTTAACATGTATGCAAAAATTTAAATGGGTATAAAGTGTTTATCTTTTAAAAGTGGGTTTTGATAAACAATCCACCCAGCTGCCGTGACTCAGTAGTTGAGCATCGACCAGGTCACGGTTTGATTCCTGGTCAGGAACATGCCCAGAGTTTTGGGCTGGATCCCCAGTGGGTGTCGGGGACATCGGGGGAGGGATGCAGGAGGCAGCTGATCAATGATTCTCTCTCATTACTGATGTTTCTATCTCTCTCCCTCTCCCTTCCTCTCTGAAATCAATAAAAAATATATTTTAAAAAATAAATAAATAATCCGTTTAACACAGTAATATATCTCTGTGAAGATCCTGCAGTAAATGAAAGCACATTAGTTATAGCAGAGGTTCAATGAAGTCATAGATGCACCACAGAGGGTGCAACGAAGCCAAACAGAACACTATCAATATAAGGTCTATAGGCATGCAGTTTTACTCTCCAGAAGCTATGCCAAAAGATGGAAGCTTGTCTTTTGAAAATGGGAATTTTGTTTTTTTCAACCACCAGTAGGTATAAGGAAAAACAGCAGAAGTGGAGATCATGCACATCTTGCTGAAATGCCACATCTCAGTGTGGAGAGGGGCGGGTGACTGGGGGGCAGGGCTGTGGGGAAGAGGTAGAGGGATTGAGCAAAAATGGGGAAAAAAAGAGAACAAAACTCATGGACACAGACAACAATGTGGTGGTTGTCCCAGGGAGAGGGAGTGAGGGAGGTGGAGGAGGGTATAGGGGAAATAAATGGTGAAGGACAGACTTGACTTGGGGTGGTGAACACACAATACAGTGTGTAGATAATGTGTTATAGAATTGTGCATCTGAAACCTGTATATTTTGTTAACCAGTGTCACCCCCAATAAATTCAATTTAAAAATCTCTGTGAGAAATTCCTAACTGGAAAGGTTATGCTTTTTAAAAGTCCTTTTTTATTATAATTATAGCCAAAGCAAATCCATCATCACTGAATGTAGTCATTGGCAGATTTTCCCATGGATGTTGTTTTATTTCCTGATTGTGTGCCACAACTAATATACAAATACACATGAATGGCCTCCCAAAGAAATAATTACATACTAGCTAATGAATTACAACTAAGCAAAAAGATGTCAACTGCTGCTTATAAATGGAATCTATGAGACAGAGTTTTCTTATTTCTTGTGTTATATTTCTCCATTATTGCTCTGAACACCTCATAGGTGCCTTGATGAGAACATAGCAGATTCTATGAATAAATTAATCTTTTTAGGAGTTAAAAACAAATTAAATGCTTTTATTATCTGACTGCCCAACTCTGATGGCTATATAATGGTCTTTTTGAAGGATTTTCAGTTTAATATTTTCCAAACCCTTTTCTATGATCATTCCCACCATTATTGCATAGCTGCCTTGAAAAGGACTTTTACTTTTAAAATCACCTCTAACTAAATATAAATATAAGAGTTTCAAATGGTTTTTTTTTCCTGGTCCTGTCATGAGTCAGATGGTCAGTGTCATCTAAATTCATTTAATGCTCAATTTACTTCAATAAGTAAGAAATCATTGAAGTTTAAGAAACTGTATTTCAAAGTTGTTTTAAAAATGGCACAATAAGAGAGTACATAAAACTTGCTACTTACCTTCCCATTGATCTCTAATGAAAAGTTATTTTGGACCTGGGATAATTTCATCTTGTTATAAAGAAGCATTGGATCATTTCGATCTTCAGGTTTAGCTGAAGCCTATGGATTTAAATTTTGATCATTATTTTAGAACTAAGATTTTTTTTTAAAAAAACATTATATTTAAGGAAAAAAGGAATATGGGATAGGTCCGTGGTCGGCTAACTGTGGCTCACGAGCCACATGCGGCTCTTTGGCTCCTTGAGTGTGGCTCTTCCTAAGTATTAGGAGTACCCTAATTAAGTTAATAACAATGTACCTACCTATATAGTTTAAGTTTAAAAAGTTTGGCTCTAAAAAGAAATTTCAATCATTGTACTATTGATATTTGGCTCTGTTGACTAATGAGTTTGCCAACCACTGGGATAGGTAAATATACTTGAAGTTCCACTCTATACTTATTTCGTAATTTACTTTGTCATATCAAAAAGGAAAGTGAAATTTAAGAGATTTTAAATATTTCCAGTAAAAATTATCAAGATTTGGCTGTAGTATTGACTATAAAAGTTCTCAAAAATATTTTTATATTTTTTATATATTTTTTATATATTTTAATATTTTTGAAAATGGCCAAGCCACATAAGCAATATGTGGCCTGCTTCCATCTGTGGTTAATGGCCAGCTCAGCTGTGTCTGTTTCACATTATAATACTTTTTTTGAATAGCCATCTTCAATTTATCGTGCAAATTCTGCCTCCCCCTCCACCACCACCACTATTATTCAGTGTCCAAGCTATAATTCAGACAAGAAAAAACCCCACCTCACAATGGTTTCTGCAAGAATTTAAAGCAAATAAAACAGAGAAAACTTATGTATAGGTTGCCAGGTATCTGAGGAATGCTAGCACTTGGTACTTTTGTGACTATGCTCCCATCCTGCCCAAGCAGGTCACTGCTCTATACTCAACCATATCCAGCTTTACTTTTTCCCACTGAATCACAAAAAAAGGGAAAAAGGGAGAGAAAGGAATGCAATGACAATCCCTTCACCCCCACCACCCCAAGAGACAATGGCCCCCATTTCCCCTTTAGGTCACTTATTTATGCCTTTATTTTCAAAATTATTTATTGAACATCTCCAGCATGCAATAATAAGCTGGACACAAGTGATTCAAAGGTGACTAAGGTACCACCCAGACCTCAGAGTCTAAGAGAAGAGAGAAAATATAGACACAAATAATTCTGAGATCCAACTATTAAAGAGCTGAGGCTGATCCCAGGAGAGCATGGTCTGGGAAGGTTCAAGTGGTAAAAACATAGGGCAATAAATTGTTCTCTAATAATTCTGTGTTCAACGCAGAGCCACGTGCAACCCATTTAACTTCCATTCATCCTGCTGTAGCTCCAAGCAAAGTCTGGCTCTGACTGGAGATTTTTGGTTTCATGTGGCCCTAGGAAAGCTAAAATTGCCCTCAAAGATCTCCAGTCTTCAAGATTCTGATGGCAGTGTCCAGTCAATGGGATGTAGGAGAGCAGGCTGTTGTTTGCAATATCAGCAAAAGCTCTGTGGAGCCTAGACTGAAACCAAACTTGGGTTCAATCAATTACCTTGATGTTGCTCCAACAGAATTCACTCACTTGAGACTACAGACCCAGTCAGACAAGAAAATGCAAACTCAGACTCTAAGAGTTCACCTGCCACTAGAGGAAATGCATGAATATACCCTTGGGCTCTGCTGGTAAACTCTTCCTGTGAGATCTCCCCTCCTGAGCTGAGCAGCCTGGCAGTCTGAACTCGGTGACATCACACAGTCATGCAGCCACGTTCAGGGGCTAATATTTCTTAGCCAAGGGATAGAGGCAATCTCTTTAATCACTATAATTTTTTTTTTAAGGAAAATTGTGCCTATCGAGACTAAAACAGCTTTACTCAACAGTCAGCAATCAAGTGTGTCTTGAGTCTCAAGGACATCTCAACAACAGTTTGGCTGTAGTTAGAATTTCGGTATAATCCACTTATAATAGGTAATTAAATGTACCTAGTTTAATATTTGTCAAGCTTAGTATGTCTCCTGGATGTTGGAAACCCAGTTTACTATAAAATTTTACAGTTTCAAAGGTCCTCTTAAAGTTAATGATCCTTTGCTAAGCTATGTATTTTTATCGCTTGGTTAAAGAGTTGTACCTTTCATCCTTAAAATATAATAGAGAGAAAAAAGAAAAGAAAAAGTAGTTAATGTTATTCAGTGTATCAGAGATAATGTGTTTTACATTGGCAATTTCTTTTTCCC